TATATATATTTATATTTGATCATGTCTTAGCTAAATCGAGAATATCAATGTTATCTAAAAGAATAAGAATATGAATAAAAAATAAATATTTTATCCTCATAATTTAAATTTTGTTTGTTGTTAGTTTATATGTTTTTTTTGCATGATAAAGTAAATTGACTTGCAACAAATAATACATGAATTTTGAAATATTTATACAATAGGATCTAATAGTTTGAAAGATTATGCAAAAGAAAAAACTATTTTAAAAATATTATGTGCAACTATTTAGAGATTCTCTTTAATTAAAAAAAAACATATAGTACTTATAATATATATAGACAATGCAATTCACATTTATACTATATATAAAAATACTGGCAATTTAGTGAAAATTATGTACGTGTTTTGTCGTGAGAATTCAATAATAATTACTTTATTTGAAATTTTTGAAAATGAAATTGTATTTGGCAATTTTTTAACAAAAGGATATTTAGAATTTAAATATATCTTGTCTGAATATTTTAATCCTTAAATTCTAGAAAAAAATAAAATTATCCAACTTGACTAGCTTAATCGTGTGTACATATATTCATTTAACTTAACACATTTTTTATTGGTGATTTGATTCTTTTTTTTAAAATAGACAAAAAAAAAATGAATCTTGTAATTTTTTAAATAGTGTAAAAGTGATTTTTGTTCACTTTTATAATACGAAAATATTCATTAAAATTAAGTCATAGTTATTAAATAATTTTAGCCAAATACTTCAAAATAAAAAGACAAAATCAAAAGCCGCAATCTTGAAGTCAAAGGAAGGAAAAGTAAAGGTTAAGAAGAAGGAAAAACGTGAGTGCCGCCACCGTAACTTTTGGCGGCGGCTTTTTTAAAAAGTAAAAACAATGTTCTGGACGTTGTTTTTATGCTCTATTTTATAGTTGAGTAGGTTTCCATTTCATATTTTCTATCAAATTTATTTTATCGTAGCGAGACGTTGCGTAATGTATTGAAATAAATATGTCCTATATTAACAAGAATATTATGAAATTAGATCTTTGGTTTAACTCAGATCTCAAAAATTAGCTCAAAGGGAGGAGGATTGTCCAAATCTTATAAGAAGTCCGCCCATTTCATTAACCAACAATGTGAAATTTTTGTCATTCTTTAACAAATATTGTATCAAGATATGACATATAACGTTGAGTTATGTATTCAAAATCAGAATACGACATTAGAATATTGAATTGATGTATTTGAAATTCTTAAATTTAAAAGATATTTTTATAGTTTAAAAAAACGAACAATGATAAATATAATTAATTTTTAAATACTAGGTAAAATATATTTGTATTTAAGGTTTGACGGGTCCAAAATTATATTATAAAGTAATCGGAGTATAAATGCTTTGTTTTAATTTTTGGTGTTTGCAAACATTAAAGTTGTGGTGGACATGGGGCTTTAAATCTCATTTAATAGGCTCAAAGTTAAGATAGAGAGTTTACTCGAAATAACTTAATTATTTTTTCATAAATACTTTTAAAACTCCAAAAAGCTTAATAGTAAAAAAAAAAATACTAGCAAGATGAAAAAAGACCCTTGTGAGATTTATGAAATTAATTTTCATTTCATAGTGATATTAAAAAAATGAACCCAATATCATACCTATTTGATTAAGAAAACCAAACCAAATTCCCTTTATGCAGCTAGTGATATTGTCTCATTTCATATCAATTGTATTTTCGCTTAAGATTTTTTTTTTCAAACGAGAAGATTTGGTTGACCGTTCACTCATCTTTTGATGATCTTCCATTTAGCTTGTTTACTGTAACAGAGCGAGTAATATGTCGATGAAAGGTAGTATGCAACATTAAAGAAAAGAAATTGACAACGAATCTTAACTATAATTTCAAATATAACAATTTAATTAATAATTATTACTACATCTTCTTATAAATTAAGATTTTAAATTCAAATTTACATTGAATAATTAATGTTTCTTCATGTATTCTTAAAAGGATTTGATCACAATCTTGTTGTTTCTATATTTGATAACCATCATTTTATACCGCTTGAAAAAGAACACAATTTTGGACTTATCATATTTTTAGGTTATTGCTAAAAATAGGGTGTATAAAGATATTTAGATGAAATGTTCTAATTAGTAGAGGTGTTTTAATAATTTTTCATAGAATAGGGAGCTAAAAAAAAATCAATATTATTATATGTATTTGTTTGACTATTTTGTACGTCTACTGATAAATATTATTCACACATTATTTCTATTTCGGATCAAAAGTTTGTTTAAATAATTAATCTAACGAAATCAAAAAAAAATATTAAATGATTCTTTGCGCCTGTTCTAACTCAGTGAATAGAGTTATATTTGTTACTTATTATTGATGGGAGATGACATGTATTCTGTAAAATTAATTAAAATATATGAAATGTTAATCCCAAACATTACAATTTTTAGAAAGAAACATAATTAACTACTTAAAATATATAAATAATATGAAATTACAAACTGAATAATTTTAATTATTTAGGTAATTATTTCGATTTATTGATCGTAATTCTGAGTTCAAAATATAAAATTAGCATTTATTTATGCCTCAAAGGATAAAGACAAAAACAGTTATTTTGCTGTTAGAGATTTTTTATTGGTTCCAATAAGAGGGAGCTGAAACTGAGAAATCCTATCCCGTAAATAAAAGACTTATAAAGGGGTAATTTGGGAACTGCATAAGTTTCAACTCCCGAAATGGACAAAAGGAGTGGTTCATCGGGTAGATAGGGAGAATATGAAGGGTAAAAATGGAAAAAGACAAAGAGCAAGAAGACGCCGAAAATGTTTTAATATTCCAGGTGAGATAATTAAATAACTGTACTAAATCGATAATGGAGATCTATTTGTAATGGCGGTGGCGACTTCCCAAGCAAACCGAGTCCGACTCGTCCACTTGCGAGTTCAATACGCGTTAGCCTGCCTCTGAGAGATCTTTGCTACGTCATCGGAGTGATTCTCCGGTCACCGGCGAGAGAAATACACGCCGTTCATTGATTATTACAGGTTTTGCAGGAAAGTAAAGCGACGATGAACGCTAATGGATTCTGCGGTGTTGAGAAAGAGTATATAAGGAAGCATCATATTCATGAACCTAAGGAGAATCAATGCAGTTCATTTCTAGTCAAGCACATTCGAGCACCTGTTCATCTTGTTCGTTCTCCTCTCTCTCTCTCTCTGAATGCGTTTACTGCATTTTTCTTTTCCGTAGATCGATTGATTTATTTTCAGCTGTGTTGTGATTGATGATTATACTTTTAAATATCTTGAAGGTAAACATTAGATTTGTTATATTTGCGATGATTGTATGGTTTCTGATTTTGTATTGATCGTGTTCTCAGCTCTGTTTTCCTGAAAAAATACGACGTCACTAGGCTTTGATTTTGGTAGTCAGATCATCGAGTTCCTTTGTAGTTTTTTGTCTTGGTCAAATTTGTATAAAGGATGAAACGGATAAGATTTGAATTGTTTCCTATTTTAGGTCAAGCAAAGATTGTATCATCTTTTAGCTGTTTGGTTTATCCGTTCATGAAAGTTGAAAGTGACTCTAACTAATCTTTTGGTTAGTTGTATAAGAAAAGATCCCTGCTATAAAACTCTTGCATAACTAGGGGTGAACTAAAATATTCCTTGAAGAACTACCTATTACCTAATACAAGTGCTTATAGTGAACAAAGACGAAAGGCTAAATGTATTAGCAATTGATATGTTCATTGATTATGCAAAAGGGACAAATGAATCATCTGCAGTTATTCTCCACGTCGATTGCCTGTTTGCCTTATGCTTTTTATTTTGACTGAAGTGCTGGATAACTGATATTACTGCAAGCAGGACAAAATTAATATCTCTGATAACGTGAACGGAACTTGCATTTTGTATTTTGTGTTTAACCAGTCGTAATGGTTGTTGTTTCTCCCTCTTTTTATCAGGTTTGGTCATTGGTTAGGCGGTTTGATCAGCCACAGAAGTACAAGCCCTTTATCAGCAGGTGCATTGTGCAAGGAGATCTTGGGATTGGTAGTCTTAGGGAAGTTGATGTCAAGTCGGGCCTCCCTGCAACAACGAGTACTGAGAGATTGGAGCTTCTTGATGATGAAGAGCACATCTTAAGTGTCAGGATTGTTGGCGGGGATCACAGACTTAGGGTACTAAACAATTCTCTCTTGTTTGGCTGTTCCTTTCTTTTTTCAATTATTTTTTCTTATTTTTAAATTTTATTGTTATTAAGTACCCTTGAATTTGGTTTTTTCTCAGATCATGATCATTTCTATGGTAGAAGATTACCTCCAAACTAATTAGACTACCAAAATAAATTTCTAACTTGAATAACTTAATATACTTCTAATAAATAACTTAATATACTTCTAATTTCTACTTTACAGTTCTATTTTTAAGTGCTTAGTCATATATGTTTTTAGAGAAGCTCGAATCATCTGATATTGGTACTTCTTGTGATAGTGATATTGCAGAATACTAATCCTCTTCCCTTAAAGACCGTACAACCTGTCAGCAAAATAATGGATATTCTACTGTTACCTTCTCAAAAAAAATAAATAATGGATATTGCAGTCTGGTATTCTAGGCAAGCTAAAAAATTAGCATGTTTCTCATCTAAAGATTAATTTGTTCTCTTATAGATTGATGATTTTCGGGATTAAGCTTTAGAGCATTGAATTTATTTTCAGGGGGCTTTTTGTGATTGTACCATGGCAGGTTATATACCTTTTAATGCCCCCTTTGACTTGTGTGTTGAGAACTGAAGACAATAGCTCAATTGCTAGGCATTTGAGGGTTAGATAAGTGAGCATCTTCCTGATGCAGAGAACCAACTCCATTGATTCTTTGATTTGGCAAAAACGATTGGGTTCTTCTGTAATAGAACAACACTTTTAATTGATGATAGCACATTATGAAACTGAATGATCAGTACAGCACAAAGTGATATTTATTTTGCTTTTGAGATTATTCTTAGTAGAGAGCCGAGCATGTGCTTTTAGAATTATGATAACCTTTTCTGAAAGGTCGACTAGAATGCCAAGAAAAAATCAATTTAAATTGCAATCTTATTGGTAATAATTAATAAAGGGAGGATGGTATGTTATGTAGCACAATGCAGGTGTCTGAACTTGTGAGTTCGTTTGGGTTAATGACTTTCATGCACTATCTTTAATTGGGGAATATTGCAAATTGATTGCTCTTTGATGTCATGTCCTGTGAAGGCAAGTTTTTATGTATTTGGATTCGTTTAAGGAATCACTAGATGAATGATCTGGTTTTATTTTAGCAGGTTAAACATGACAGGTTAGTTTGATCTTGCAAAGATAGAGAGATACTTTGTGCTTGCTTCTTCCGACCTTTAGTATTGTTTTGACTACATTCAATTAAATATTCAGCCCTGTATGTTGCCCTTATCTTTTCTATTTGATCTTTTCCAGAACTACTCCTCTGTCATATCTGTGCACCCAGAGGTGATTGATGGAAGACCTGGGACACTAGTGCTTGAATCATTTGTAGTGGATGTGCCCGAAGGGAACACCAAAGACGAGACATGTTATTTTGTTGAAGCTTTGATCAATTGCAACCTAAAATCACTTGCTGATGTTTCAGAGAGGCTTGCTGTGCAAGACAGGACAGAACCCATTGATCAGGTCTAAATCAGGAAGACGTTCTGAAGGTTATTTCTACTTAGGATGAAGCTTCCTTAAGGCTGTTAGTTCTCCTGAGGCTTTGGAGGCCGACTGTATGTGGCTTGCTCTCTTCAATATTCCCTGGTGCTTTTAGTGCTCCGCCTTTTTTCTTCTTCTTCTGCAGTGTATGTTTAGGGTTCAGTCATATTACTTGTTTGTAGCGTCTCAGAACCACACGTTTTACAAGGATTTGAAGACACCCTGTAAATGGATGAAAAGACTAGCCTGTTTCCATTCTTCGAATTTTGATAGGGGGTGTGGTATGTCACTTGTCTCTGTTTTGTGTTGTTCCAGGGTATATTGAGTGTGTAGCCGTGTCTTTTAAGTTGCATTTGTGGTCTCTAATTGCAGTACGCAATGGCTGGGTACAGGAGGTGGGGTTGGGTGTGTGGATTGGGGGGGGGGGACTCTATTTACTGAATAGAAGCACATTTAAGGCTCCAACAGTCCAAGAGCTAATGCTGTACAGACTAGTTATAGAGAAATGCTCTAGATCTGCAAACATTTCTTATTTATATCGTTGTTATTAATCATTGATCACGCAAAGACTTTTTAACTGTTGTGTAGTGGCTGGAGTTATGAGAGGAAAGTTGAAGATGACTTCTAGACTGCTTTAATAAACTGAGGATGGTAGCTTGTCATGTCACTCCGCTAGAGGTTCTTTCAACGAGCATGTAATTCACAAGACAAAATACTGCACACACAGATCTACTGTTAGGAATGTTAAGTGAAAACCAAAGCTTCCCTAATGGAAAAAGTAAACATGTCCAAAAGCAGTTCTAAATGTTAAGTTAGGATAATTTAACATGGCTCACTAATTTGATAAGTCTATATAACGATATCGAGATAGCATTGCGTTGAATTTGATAAGCTAATTTCGAAATTGTTTTATATTGTTTCAATATAATGATGCCTTGTTGTAATGACACAAATTTTAAAAAGACTCTAAAAAAACAGATTTGATCTTTTTGTAAAATAAACCACAATAAATTTTGTATAATGCGAAAGATTTAATGGTTTTGAGAGAAATTTAAATATTCAATTGTAAGAAACCTGTAACTTTCAAATCAAAGATTATAATTTGTAAATTTGAATCAGCCGAAGATAAAAAATGATGGGAACTTTATGGAGGGGGTAAAAGGAAAAATTGAAGAATAAGTAAGTAAGGAAAATATAGGAATAATAATATTGGTTGGTCTTAATTGTTAGAAAATAAATGAAGAAATAAAATAGATAATCATATAAAATATATAATATAATTACTTAAAGTTATTTCATTTCTAAATTATTATAATGACCTTACGTTGAGATAGATTAAAAATATCATAAGATCTATCCAAAAGGTTATTTTAAATTTAACAAGTACACAAAATAAAAAATTAGTTTTTTTAAAGAGGATTAACCTAATAATGATTAGTCTAGTTTCATTGTAGATTTCTTATAAATCACTCAAAACTAGAGATTATTATTATTTTGCTTTTGGTCCATACAATTTGAAAGTTCTTTTTTATGTATAATTACATATTATTTATAAATTTTATTTAAGTTATTATAAGATTATTTAAATTGAGATATTTTTAATATTAACTAAAAATATTTAAATTTAATTTTTTTTATTATATAGAAATATATATAGTTTGTCCAAGCCTATTGCAAGACATGATAATATATGTATAGAACATCACGTAATAATTAGCAGGTAGCATTATTAAAAAGATACGTAGCTTGCTCAAACCTATTGCAAGTAACACGATAATATTCGTATCGAAAACATCATATGACCATTTAGCAGCTAGTGTTGTTAAAAAGATATATAACTTGCCTATTCCTATTGCAAACAACATTATAATATATGTACGGAATGAAAAATAAAATAACAAAAACTTCAAAAGCTTTGCATTTACTCTCCTTTTATTGAGCAGTCTCTTATTATAGCAAAAATATTCAATGCAATTGCTGAATGAAGTAAATATTTAATAAAAAATGAAGTACTCATTTTTTTAAAATTCTTTTTAAAATTCTTCTAGGACCATTTTTCAATTTGTCATATCATTCTTGCGTAGGGACCATATTAATTTTCTGTGTATCGTTACGAGTTTATTGAATGTCTCCAAAGAGACCAAAAGCCAGTACTCAAATTTCATATTACAATATCTAATTCGACTTTAATATAAACACTTATTATTATTATCGTTTTATAATGGTAATGTAAGAGCTTAAAAATTACTTCCCCAGTTTGAAAATATTTGTCATGTTGCGTTTATTGAAAGTTGATTCGATTAATTTTCAAAGATAAATTAGATCACATTAATTTGATATTTTAAATAAAAAAAATTAGATATTCTAAAACAATATGAAAAATACTATCAATTACAATTTTTTGCGTATTAATTTGACTCTAAAAATAGAAATTATGATATGATAAATTTGAATTATAACGATATTGTCCTACTAATATATATTGTGTCAAATTAATTAATGTTTAATGTGAATTGATTGGTAAAATTATTATTCTTTTTTAAAAATAAAATTTACTTTATATGTTATTCAGTCTTTGAACATCATTAATGGAGTTAATCGTTAACCTTATATAAAGAGAAACCATCAATCAGTTCATCTAACTCGTCGGCTTTTCATCTCATCTACTCGGCGTTGTTGTGCGGTGGTTCCGTCGGTGAAACCCTAATTTCTGATAACATCCGCTTAACCTAGGTACGATCTGCTTTATGATTTTTTTATTCTAATTCAATTTTGCCCTAATCCCTATTGTTCGTTGAGTACAATTTAACAATGGCTTTTCTACATTTTACACGGCGTCAGTGCTTTTAATTCTTGCTCTGAACCTTGCAAGTTCTATTATACAGTTTTCGTCCCTTGGATTTATATATTCGATGAGTTTGAGTTGAGGACTGTACGATACTCTGTTTTTTCCCTTATTTAATGGTCTACCGGTTATTCTTGTAGTTCAGCTCACAGTTGCCTTCAATAGCTGCCCGACTCAGGGTCTGTCTTTGTTGACCATACATTTTGATGTCTCTTTAGGTGAGTAAATCACAGTGATTCTCAGGAATACAGGGCATTTGTATATGTTACTAAACGTCTGTGGATAAGTTAGTTGTTTTTCTGCTGGTGGGACTTGGATGCTTGAGGGTCTTTACTTGGGCAGTATTTATTTTTGGTGGTGCGGGGAAGGGGAGCAGTGACACCAGTGTAATGAGGATTCACTAATATTATTGAATTACGAGTTTTAAGACTTGAGTTTTAGTTTAGCAAGACCACTTTTCATGCTCTATTAGAGATTTTCACTTTATATGGATTAAATGCCATCTAGTGTCCCATCTAATATTTTTTCTTTATTGGTGTCTGGCGGTTAACCTTGGTGTGTGATAAGGAAATAATAACTGGTTTAGTGGGTTATAGTTACTTGATATATCTCCATGAGAAAGTTTAGTACAAGGGACATGCCTAGTATGAAGGAAGATAATGTATGGCAATGGTTGCGTGCATCCAAAGAAATAAGTTATGTATTTAAGTGGAGAAGGACAGAGGGTCGAGGTCATCAGTTTCAAAAAGAGCTTTTGAAGGTTGCAGTTGGCCCCCAAGGGTTGACTTCACTCTGATTTCTTTATCATAAAATAGAAGAAGAATCACACATGGTTGCACTTACTCGGAATTAAATTCCATCTTTCTAAAAACTTATGTTGCACAATTGCTTTCTATGTAGAAGCATGCTTATTAGATTCACATGGTTGCACTTACTCTGAATTAGGAGAAGAATTGCACATGGTTGCACTTAGTCTGAATTATATTCCATCTTTCTAAAAACTTAGTTTCACAATTGCTTTCTATGTAGAAGCATGCTTATTAGATCACTAGTTTACATTTTAAGTCCAACGCGCTTTTGGGTGTTGCACTGTGATCCTTTAGCACATGTAGTCTATATACTGCTTATAATCCATTCTTCTCTTAGCTTAGAGACCTTGAGGAGAGTTAAATGTTGGGTCAAATGACAATTTAATATCTGTTATTCTTTTTAAAGCTTGGTTTGTAGTTCGGATGGCATCTGCATCTAGCCAGCCTCAGTTTCGATACACACAACCCCCATCAAAGGTCCTTCATTTGAGAAACTTACCATGGGAGTGCACAGAGGAGGAGCTGATCGAATTGGGAAAACCTTTTGGTAGAGTTGTGAATACCAAGTGTAATGTAGGAGCAAACCGAAATCAAGCATTTATAGAGTTTGTAAGTTGCTGAATTCATCTTTCTCTTTCATAGTATATCTGTTTTTCTTTTGAATCTTTACATCGTTCAAAACTTGAGTTCTTATGTCTGAATTGTTGATATGTGTAGGCAGAATTAAATCAAGCCATTGCAATGATATCGTACTATGCCTCTTCCTCTGAACCAGCTCAGGTACGGGGGAAAACCGTCTACCTACAATATTCCAACAGGCAAGAGATAGTGAACAACAAAACTACAGCAGATGTAGCTGGAAATGTGTTGTTGGTTACAATTGAGGGAAATGATGCTCGCCTTGTCAGCATTGATGTTTTACACTTGGTAAGGATTAAAATACTTCCCATTTGCTTTGGTGGAGAGGAAATCTTCTTCGTGGAAAGGTTTCCTATAGTTATGGTAATTAGGTTGGAGTATTTCGTGCTTTCTTGAGCACCCTTTAACATGAAATTGAATGGATCAGCAGGCCAATGTCCAGGATATATCTTCAATGGCAGCTTATTGCATCGGGAGAAAGAGCGCATGCGTGTTTGTCTCCTTTCTCTTTTTCTTAACTCTAGCTCTTTCTTCCCTTCTCCTCATCTAACTTTCCTGACTTTCTTGGAGTGTCAGATGTTTCTTATTCCTCTAAAATCTTCATCCTTCCTTAGCATGTGCATAATGGAGATGCAATTTTTTGTTTTCCGAGGCAAACTTGTTGCATATGCATCCGGCAACTTGCAGTGGATGCATAATTTCCTTTGCTTATAGTAATAATGTCTTTTGGTTAAAATAATTCGAAAGTTTAGGGTCCAAGGCAAAACACAAAGTCCAATAATCATTTATAGTCAGACATTTGGTTATCTAAGCTTCCCATCTCCGAGACTGGCTTGTCTTAAACTTTCTGGACTTTTTTACTTCAAAGGATTGAGAAATAGTCTCTTTCCTCTTGTTTTAGAGTTATTAGGATGTTATTAGTGAGAAAGTTTGGTTTTCTAAAATACAGCTTAGTGGGATGGAGCTTGCCTGGTTAGGGGCCAAGATCTTACAAACTTGAGGTGATTTATGGCTGCTTAGAACTTCTCTAATGATGAGATTTGTTTGATAGGTCACCCTTGTAATGATGCTGAACTTTAGGCTTTGTTAACAGACTTGCAAGTTAACTTTCTCTAAAAGTTAATTTTGTTTCGTGTGGAATACTACTCTTGCGCGAGCTTGGTTGTAGCTTAAATGCTTTACATTCTTCCACTAGAACAAGGGTTCGAGACTTGTATCAGTGCTTCTTGTGGAATTTTCTGGTTGTATGAGTGCTTGACCTAAATTTGTGGACTCTTCAGAGAACTGTCAGATAATTTTCTGACTTCAGAGAATTTTCTCATGCAGATAGAGTTTTGTTTGCATCATGTATTCATGTTCAGTTAGTTTTGTTTGTATCATGTGCTGTAAATGACAGGAGAGATGTTCTTCTATTCATTTTCCTCCTGTGTATATCCTTCACATTTTAGGAACTTCTTTAGGTCAACTGATGGAGAATACTCCTTGAATAGATTTTTTCTTTGGCAGTAGAGAGTATAATTGATAATCATTTAAAGTAGAAATGTTGTTTGTGCTATTTGTTTCTAATGTATTAGACGCTTAATTGAGAAGAGCATGCTGGATTTCTTTTTAGTGTTATATTATTTCTCCAAATTATTTATAACATTGAATAGATTCATTTCTGAAATAATCCTATTCTTTCAGGTATTTTCAGCTTTTGGATTCGTGCATAAGATAACGACATTCGAGAAGACTGCAGGATTCCAGGTATTTATGCTTCAGAAGAAGCAAATTTGATCAGTGTCAATAGGCTTGTTGACCTCCTAATTAGCTGACTAGTCCCTCTTTGAACCCTCTTCAGGCTCTGGTGCAATTTTCTGATGCAGAAACCGCTACCTCAGCAAAGGATGCCCTGGATGGAAGAAGCATTCCCAGGTGATTTTGGATTTATATTTAGTTGGCTATGTCACGCTTACCGATATATTAATAGCCCTTGTATTACTACTATCATAGTTTTCTATGTATTAGTTTGTTTTTTTCCGAAATGGTAATGGTGTATTCTTCAGCATTAAGGAGATGCTGGTGACCTGCAAACAGATGGGAACAAAAGAAGAGAAAACAAAAAATACTTACTAGGATCCTAATAATTCTACAATCTGTTCTGTATCCTCTAAACCTTTCTCTTTACACCAAAAATAAAAGGATACAATCCCATTTGACCTTCTAAATGGAATTGGACCTATCTTCAACATTTCTACTATTTCTTTCTTTTCATACTGTCCACCAAATGCAATGTGGAATTATTCTCCACCTTGCCTTTTGACTCTTGCTCCCCCCTCTTCTTATCCAACAACTCAACAAGTCTACAGTATGCTCGGGCATTGTCCAGTTTGTTTTTGTGAGACTAAGGAAGATTGCCCAAATTTGTGTTGTAAAGTTGCAATGTGCCAATGCAAGAATAGATGCTGGTTGGTCTCTGCTGCGTTCCTGCATAATGTACACCAAGATACTATAATTCCTTCTCTCCTCAGCACTTTATGTGTCAGGCAAGCCCTTCTAGCGACCATCCATGTAAAACATTTTATCTTAGTTGGTGCTAAGGTTCGCCATACTTTTCTCCACAAGCTCTGCTTGGAGTTGCGTTGCTGGGGACTTTCATTTTGTGTGCCTTGCTAACCGTGAAAGCTCCATCTTTACTATGTTTCCATCTCAAGAATCAGGAGCACTGGTGATGCCAGGGAATTTTTCGAATGGCTCTAGCAATTTGGCCACTCTCTCCACTTCCCGGTCATTCAAAAACCTCCTGAAGATTAGATCCCACCCTTGTGCTGTCCAATATTCATTTTTTTGCATCAGGATTACTACATAGTAAGAACAGATCTGGAAGGGATTCTTTTAGAGGAATCTTTTTGTTCCACGATTCTGTCCAAAACGTAGTTCTCCTGCGATCTCCCACTTCATTGTACGTATTGACTTCAAGTTTTTGCCATAAGTGTGATAGTTCTCCAGACCCCACCCCCTAGGCATCAACACTAACATTACTGCACCAAGGATTGTACTCACTATACTTGGATCTGATGACATCCTCCATAAATCTTGCCCCTCTTCATTATACCTCCATAACCACTTCAACAAAAGGCTATTGTTTTGGTTGCTTAAATCTCTAAATACCCATAATTCCTCTGTCTCTGCTTTGTAATGTTATATCCCTTTTTTTTTTGACAAAGGTTACAAGGTTTTGTATAAATCTTCAGCACTAAGGCTGGTGTCCCAAAAATTTACATCACAGAGCTACTTACAACTGAATAGGCTCAGCCCCAAACAAAGAAAATCTATCTGTCGGTCCTATCTCATCTTATAAGGATACTAAGATGTCTACATCGCTACAAGATCATCTACATATTCCGAACTACACCAACAGCAAAAAGTGATAATGCAGTTCGTTTTAATCCTATGCAGAGGACTGCTAACACTTTCAAAACATCTCGAATTTCTCTCCTTCCAAATGGTCCACCATATCACTGCTGGGACAATTTTCCATCTGTTTTTGTTCATACTACCACTCCCCTCATAGTTCCAGCTTACTAGAGTCTGACCTACCCTTTTAGGCATAGTCCACCTTATGCCTCTGAAATTAGTAAACAAGTTCCATAGTTGGCAACCACTTTACAGTGTAAAAACAGATGGTTGATTGTCTCTGCCTTTTGCTCACAAAAAAAACATCTTGGACACATCTGTATGCCCTTCTTCATAAGGTTTTCTTGCGTTAGAGCGGCCTCTTTCACTACCAGCCAAGTGAATATTGTCACTTTGTAGGGAATTTTTACTTTCCATATAAGATTCCAGGGCAAGAAACTAACTTGAGATCCCGTCTGATTCAAACTCTTATAAGCAAAGCTGACTGTGAAGCTGTTATGGCACTTCCATCTGAGAGTATCATCTCCTTCCTTTGGTCCTGTATACAGATCCAAGGTGCCATAAAACTCAGCCAGTCTTGCATCAGTCTTCTATATGTCAGTTTCCACCCTTGAGGACTCCTAACTTCTTCTAGAGTAGACTCCTGTTGCTGATTTAGTAGGTACATATCTGGGAAAAGTTGCTTGAGACTGCCATTTCCTAACCAATCATCATCCCAAAACTTGATCTTCCTTTCACTCTTTACATTGAAGCTTGTTCTTTTAAAGAAAACATACCCCAAGTTTCTGATTGACCTCCACAGATTGATGCCATAAGCAAAGAAAACCTCTTCGGTCTTCCAGAAATCTTCCTTCTCATATTTTGCTTGGATCACCCTCACCCACAATGTCTGCTCTTCTTTAGGGAATCTCCACAGCCATTTCATAAGCAAACTTTTGTTATGTTTTCTCAAATTTCTGATGTCTAAACCGCCCTGCTTTTTTGATAGGATTACAGTCTTCCATTCAACTAAATGAAAACCTTTCTACTCCTTTTCTCCATTCCACAAAAAATTCCTCCTTATGGCATCAATTCTTTCCTCTACTTTGGCTGGAATAGGGAAAATTGTCATCAAATAAGTTGGCAAGGCATCTAAGACTGAATTGATCAAAACTAATCTCTCTCCTCTTGACAAGTATTGTGCTTTCCATCTGGACAGTCTCTTCTCACATCTCTCCACCACTTTATTCCAAATCTCTTTGACTTTGCTTTTTGCTCCTAGGGGCATCCCCAAATAGATAGTTGGCAACTGCCCTATCTCTCCTCCCAGGACTTCTATAAGTTGTTGGATTCTATTCACCTCATTGATTGGGAAAATGTGACTATTCCTCCAATTGATGTGCAGACCAGAAGTTGCTTCAAAAAGGATGAATATTATCCTCAAAATTTTGAGTTGTTTCTCCTCTGCATCAGAAAAGATAAAGAGTATCATCTGCATATTGTAAATGTGTGACTTCCACTCTTGCATTCCCATCCTTTGCAACATTGAAACCCCGTATCCAACCATTGTTGTGAGCTGTCTTTATCATGTTACTTAAACCTTCCATCACCAATAAGAACAGAAAAGGTGAGAGGGGATCACCTTGTCTCAATCCTCTATCCGAAGGGAAAAAATCTTCAGGAGACCCATTTATCAACACTGAAAATTTGACTGTACTTGTGCAAAATCTCATCCACCTGATCCACTTCATTCGAAATCCCATCCTCTGCATGATTTCAAGCAAGTAATGTTACATTTGACTTGGTTATAACCTTCAATTTCTTTTTATCCATGCCGAAGGAAGTCCCTCCTTAATTTGTCCAGCTTCTTCAGAACTTTGGGGGGTAATGGAAATAGTCACATGACATAAGTAGGAAGGGTGTCTAGCACTGAATTGATGGGAGTGTGTCTGCCTCCCATAGACAAATATTGAGCCTTCCATCTTGCTTATCTCCTTTCTGTTTTCTCCACAATGCCATCCCAAATTTTTATGCTCTTGTGTTCATTGCCCAAAGGTATACCTAAATAAACTGTTGGCATATTCTCCACTTTACACCCCAAAGTATCTGCCAGATTCAAAATGTTTGTCACCTCCGTGATTGGAAATAAATTGCTTTTTCCCTAATTCACTTTCAGACCCTAGGAAGCTTCAAAAAACAGGAAGATTGTTTTTAAGAATCTTATCTGGTCCTCCCGAGGTTCACAAAAACTGAATAGGGTGTACATGGTCTGAATAGTGTATACACCCTATAATACTGAATAGGGTGTACATGGGCTGAAAAGCCTACCAAACAAAGGAGTAAATGTATTGGATTCTCTATGACGCCCTAACAAAAGGCCCTTATTATAGCAATTGTCCTTTTTAATGTTCACACCATTTTGTATGGTTAAATTACTCTCGAGATGTGTTGTTACCATTGTTATTTGACTGTAAGGAACAATGAGATCTAGAACTAGTGCTCTGGGTGAAGATTCCTCATATTACATTGAAGTGGCAGTAGCACAGTTAGATAATATTACTGTTATGATTAAAAAGAGAGAGGATATAGTGAAGAATTTCTCATTTTTGAGTGGGATTAGTAGATGAAGGTGCATAATAAAGGGTTTCTGATATTGTTGCCTCTTTCTCTGAAAGCAGCTGGTAGCTTTATTATTAACCATATTGTACATCTTTGTTTTATTCTTTTGATCCTTCAGCATGAGTTTTCTTCACAATGAACCTTCTATAAATACACTTGATATGAGCCCTTGCACTCAAATGAATCAAGGACAATCATAACCAAGCTGTATTTGATTAGTTTTCTTGGCCAAACTTGGAAATATTGTTAGTAAAAATAAAAGTCCAAGTTAATTTATTTTGCTGTTTAACTATAACTATTATACCAAACTCAATTGGTGTACTGGAGAACTTATTACTAGCTACTATTTATTTTGATGAAGTATTACTAGCTAGTACTTATTGTTCATGCAGGGCAGTTGACTGATTTTTTTCTTTTCTCGTGCATCAGCTACTTGATTCCGGAACTGGGACCATGTACCCTTAAAATCACATATTCTGCCCATACTGATCTGAGTGTGAAGTTTCAGAGTCATCGTAGCAGGTACAAATGATCTCCATCTACCTCTCTATCTCTCACACATGCACATTTTCGGATAAAGCAAATAACCTTATTGATGATGGGAAGAAAAGCTCCCCTATAAAGTGGCCTACCAAAACGTAGAGAACACACAAAAAATATGATTTTCCACGAAGATACTCTATCTTCTATACAAACATACACACTCATAAGTGTTGACTGTTTTTTCAAAACCTGTTTTGAAAATGCTTTTCTCGAGCGGGAGGGTCTTATGGAATCAACCTCTCTCCCTTGCCAAGGTAGGGGTAAGGACTCCATACATCCCACCCTCCCTAGACCCCAATACTTCATATGTTGTTTGAAAGTTGGTCATACAGAATGCTTTTGCGCAATCTTCACTGTACTTAATTGCATCTTATATATGGTTTAATCTGTTTGTGTTAATTATTGCTTTCCACTCTTCCAACTTATATTTTGTTTATGGTTTTTATTTAGGGACTACACCAATTCTCTTCTTCCTGTTGCTTCCTCAGCCATAGATTCAAGTGGTCAGGTAATGAATCAGTCAAAGCTCTAAAGTGCAGACTCACTTGTGCGTAGAGGATTTGCTAGGATTGTTAGATCCTCTTCCCGTTCCCTTGTTGCTGCCATTATGGATTTCTGTTGGATTACTTTAAGATACTGCCCTTTCATACAGCAAAGTATTAATTGAACCACCATGAACGTGTATCCCAGTCTAATGTAGGATTGAGGCATAAGTTTATTGATTGATCATTGGTGTGTATGTGAGAATTTGAGAAGGAAGAAAAGGCTTCTTTGTGTTTCGATATATCTTTACATCTCAGGAGAAGGGGTATTTATACAATGAGCGCTATAACTAAATTAGGAAAGAGAGTTAATTTTGATAGAAGTAATGTTCTCTTATAATTGTGCTAGGTAATAAAGTTTTTCCTGGAATGAAGCTAAGCTATTATTAACACAATCAACAGTATTCATATCTTTACATGGAATGCACTTATTTTTCATGTTTCTATGGTTTGCGTCTTTTGCGATATGTTCCTGGGGGCAAGTTGGTCATGGAATGCTGTCTATCCTTTCTTTTAAGTTTGTTCCATCTGTGATGCAGTTCAGTTTGGGTCTGGATGGGAAGAAACTGGAACCTGAGAGTAATGTTCTTCTTGCTTCCATTGAGAACATGCAGTATGCAGTAACCTTGGATGTCCTATACACGGTAACACTCTTCTTAAGTTGCAAAAAAGCTTTTGTAATTTCTTTCATAACCATCTTCTGACTTGTTTTGTTGGTTCTCATTTTCCTTCACATATGCTCAGGTTTTCTCAGCTTTTGGTCCTGTCCTAAAGATTGCAATGTTTGATAAGAATGGAGGGCTTCAGGCTCTGATACAATATCCAGGTAAGATGAAGTGCGGACAATAATTTGCAAAGTGTTAGTTCTTGCCCTTGCTCATTACTTGCTTACTCCAATGTTTCAAAATCATTTGGCAAATGGCCAACACTGTTCTCAGTTTCCTGACATTATATTATGTTGTGATTTCTATATGGCATTTTATATTCAAGCAGGGTATCTGTTTCTAGTGATTATTTTATTGGAAATGTACTTGCTGTCTGGATTATGACCCTTGCAAGTATTCTTTTTGTTTTTTTTGGACTGAGGAATTGCAATTATTTTATGGAATTTCAACTCCAGACCACTCCATAAAAGCTAGGTTTCTTACTCCATTTACCTGGAACAAGCTAAACCCCTGTAAATAGCTCCAGTTCAGTTTTTTGTATTCTCTTAGCTCTCTGATCCTAGAATAGGCTTGATATACTAGAGTTAACTTATATTCTTTTCTTTTGTGTTCCCTTTTGTGGTTCAAAATCTTCTTGATGCATTTTAATTGGCCAAATTTCATAAAAAGAAAGACATACTTCTTGCTGTCTTTTTCTTCTTTTTTGGTTTCCTCTCAAGTGACTTGGTTAAATAAGATAGTTGGTATATTAGTCAAAGCAATGTTCTGAACTCGTCCACCCTAGGGAGCAATGTTTTCCTCTTGTGAATTGGTCAGCTTGTACAAACTTTAGTGGATTTGAATTGGTTATTCTGTACTCAGATGCTTGTGAGTTGAACTAAGCTATAGCCTTGTTGAACCTACAGATATGCGCACAGCTGCTGTTGCGAAGGAAGCTTTGGAAGGACATTCCATATATCAAGGTGGATATTGCATGCTTCATATCTCTTACTCTCGACACACAGATCTTAGTATAAAGGTAAAAGCAGCTTTGTGGAGATATTAATTTGTGAAGGAACTCTGTAATTTAGTGTCTGCCATCTCTCTTTTGTTCATTACTTAATACCCTCCAGCTTCCCGAGCTTTCTTTCCCCATTTCCTGTGAGGGAACAATTCACTGCCTAATTGAATGGTTATTTTTACTGATTTCAGATTAATAATGATCGCGGCAGGGATTACACAATCCCAAATACTCCGATGATGAATTCTCAACCTTCAATCATGGGGCAACAGCCGCCTCAGATGGGAGGTCCAGGCGTTCATCCCTATGGTGCCCCTGCCCAGTGCACGCCAGTTCCAGGTGTTGCTCCGCCTCAGCATTCTGCAGGGTGGAACTCGGCCCCCGCCACTGCAACTCCATCAATGCCGATGCAGATGCATAACCACCCTTACATGCCAACTGCTAGTATGCCCTCTCAAATGGGTCCTGGGATGATGCCAATGCATGGACAGAACGTCATGCCACATTCTACTCCAATGCCTCCTTATCATCCACAATATCACTAGTGCGAAACAAGTTTTGCCTACTAGAGTCCTCAATATTGTTGCAGAGATGTGTTAACCAAAGATGTCACTAGTCTTTTGGTCCTAACTTGCATATCTTGCTTCTTTTTTTGTCTGTATTTTCTGTCATGTTCTCTTTTTTCTCCCTTTTGAGGTCAATGGATGGTTTCATACCTGCTTTTAGGCTCTGCATTGTACACTATTCTTGATATCATCTATCATCACAATGAATGATAATTGGAGCCAAAGGCTTTTCCTTTCACGCTCGCCTTATTTGCTCGCCTATCCACTCTTGTTATAATGTTGAAAACGAAGAGTAAAACAAGACCCCAAACATCTTATGGCTGTTTTTAAACTTTGACAACCTTAGTTTGGTTGGAATATATTTAGCTTTTTGAAATCGTGTTTGTTTGATTAACAGTTTTCTTGAATGGTTTTCAAACTCCAAATATACAAAAAGCAAGTGAAGATGGAAAAACTTTGGGTTTCTCATTTCAATCTTGAAGGATAGGCCACATAACTTTGGTCTAAGAAAACAGGGGTTTGCCGTTGGGATATGAGTAGTATTTTTTCAAAAAAATAAGTGAAATTATAGAGGCCACATGAAGAAGAGCGCCAATTTGAGTAGAGATAAGGTTTTTCTTGTCCAAACAAGAAATAAACCCAATCCCTTCATCAACCAAAAGGGGGAGAAGAGACCAAAAAGATTAATAAAAATCCTCTCTTTTGCAGTAAAGAATCTTCAAGTCTTTGGATTGAGTTCAACCCAAAGTATCTCTTCTTCTTCTTTAAACCCTAAAATATCTAAATCTTAAGGAAAGAGAAGCCATGACCACTCTTCAAGCTTCTCTTCTCTTCAAGCCTTTACCTCCTCTTCTCCATTTTTCTTCTTCGAAACATGTTCGGTCCCTTTCTTTCGCCAACGCTTTATCCTGTCGTCGTTTATCTACAACTGCATCTGCTCCATTCAAGACTCGGTTTTGCCGCCACAATTTACTGCTTCATTGTACATTGAATCCTGAACAAGTCGATTCCTCATCGGAATTTGCCTTATCTAACAATGATGACAATTCTATTCCCGAGATGGAACCCATAGAATTCAATGAACCATCTGTGGTTCAGATTGGTTCCGTACAAAATTCTTCCATCGACTCCAATGCTGGAGTTGTCAGTAGTAGTTTTTCTGATAATGAAGCGGCATCTGAGGTTTTGGTGGAGAATGATGAACTCAAGAAAAAACTGCCTATACTGGTTTTTTTGATGGGGGTATTTGCAAAGGTGAAGAAAGGGTTTGAGAATATTTTGTTGTCTGATTGGTTTAGCTGGTGGCCGTTTTGGCACCAAGAGAAACGTCTGGAGAGATTGATAGCGGATGCCGATGCAAATCCAAACGATGCTGCTATGCAGAGTGCTTTGCTTGCTGAACTCAACAAACACAGGTAAACTTTAGTCTGCCTTGTTTGTTTCATCTGCACCAGTGACAGAAATCTAGAAGAGGTATATACTAGTAAAGTTTCTTTTTTTTTTTTATGAGGAATGGTGTGTGTTCACTACTGATTTCTAAGGTGCTTTTCTCTAGGGGAGGTAGAATGACTAGGATACTACTTTTTAACAATCTTTGCCTGTATCATAAAATAGATAAAATACAAAGCTGTTTAATGTTGTCATTGTTTTCATGGATGCTTTTGATTAATCTGCCTAGTTGGGACTCTCACTATCTCAATTACAAACTAAGAGAATCATATGTGATGTAGCTAAACAATGATGCAGCCTGTCAGTTCCTATGAATTATTGTTTTGGAGTCTTTCACCTGATCACTTTGGATTACTTTTGTTTCCTTTTTTAGGTTTGTCTGTAAGTTACCTTTGCTGCACAAATTTATTTTTAGAGAGTATTCACTGTTCTCTTTATCTTTTTAACCTTAGCCCTGAGTCTGTCATTCGGCGCTTTGAGCAGAGAGCTCATGCTGTAGACAGTAGAGGAGTTGCAGAATATATGCGAGCTCTTGTGGCTACAAATGCTATTGCTGAATATCTACCAGATGAGCAATCTGGAAAGCCTTCCAGTCTTCCTTCACTGGTAATTGTTGATCATATAATACCTTCAGGTTTTTGTGTCTATTGGCAATGCCACCTGAACTCTAGATGTTCTGCTTACTACTGTAATTTGTACTGCACTTGTCTCTTGATTTGCTGTTCTGTTTGATGATTATTGGAATAAAATTATAGTTGCAAGAGTTGAAGCAACGGGCATCAGGGAACATGGACGAACCCTTTTTAAATCCTGGCATTTCCGAGAAGCAGCCATTACATGTTGTGATGGTAAGATACTCTCAGCACTGTAGTTTCTGTTGAGACAAGGAGTCTAATGTTCATCTTAAGCATCATACCTAAAACTAGTGTTACTAACAGTTAAATATGAAACCATGGCTATTGGTGCTTCCATTGACTCTGCTCATAATTACTTTGTCCATTTGTTGGGTCATGGTTTTGTGCTTGCATGTTGTTTACCCAGAATTCTTTATTTTCGCATGTAGGTTGATCCTAAAGTTTCAAATAGATCATCACGTTTCGCGCAAGAGTTTCTCTCAACTATTATATTCACTATTGCCATTGGCTTGGTCTGGTAAGTGCATCTTCTTGAATTTACTATTCTATATGTACAGAAATGTGGCCCAGTAATTTCTCTAGATATATAGTCCTGTCCTTTTCTCCAGATTTTCTGGGAGTTTGTTTGTGGCAGGGGGATTGTGCACTGATTATTTTACGTGATTGCCACTATGCTTGTTAGCATATTAACTGATTTGTCTCTATTGTTATCTTAGTTTTCACTCTCTTTCCTTGTTTTACGTAACTTCTTATATGTTTCGTTGGCAGTTATTTAGTCTCATTCTTCTATATTTTTACTAAGAAAAGAGTACAATAATTTTTTCAGGATAATGGGTGCTACTGCACTTCAGAAATATATTGGTGGCTTAGGTGGGATAGGAGCTTCAGGTGTTGGTTCAAGCTCATCCTATGCGCCGAAAGAATTGAATAAAGAAATAATGCCTGAGAAGGTTTGTTTTCTTTCTGGAGATATTACATGTAGGTTGTCTTCTGCACCAATCTTATGATGTGCTATGTGATTAAAGGGTTTGGTAGCTAATTTTATTCTATTTTACTTCTTAATCTTGTCATAGTATGAAATATCTAGTTTGTATGTGTTCCTCGTTTTGGTTTTAGAAAAAGGAGTTCAAGTCCCTAGGAATTTCATTCAGAAATTTAGGAGTCATGAAATTTGGAGAATTTATGCGTCTCATTTTTTATTTTTTATGTTCTTGCATTATTGGACATCCACCAGTGATCAATAGAGACTACTTGGAAAGGGAAGTAGGAACAGCTTCAAGTATCTCTTTTATCCCAGGCTATGCCTTATGTAACTTACTTCCATATCAATTTTATTGCATATTCACATAAATGTTAATGTGTCATTGGCCTTGGTTGTTTGGTTCTCTTATTCTTCCAGCTTTTTCCGGAGTAATTCTTTGAGTATTAGCTCACTCAAACTGTTAACAACTTCTAAAGTTTGTACAACATTCTCTCTTTGGGTATTAAGACCCAACCCGGTAGAAATGATGCTCCCGAGGCTCACCGACTGGAATGTTTTCAATAGACAAATACTAATAGTCCTTGTTGGGTTATTTACTTGTTCAGCTTTAGATCAATGTGTAGGTGCTTGAGAAGATGTTGAATGGACTTGAACTTCCACACTTATTCTATAGTGCTAGTCAATACTAGAGTTTGCATTTTTCTCCCAGAGATTGTCCAATAGAGATTGGGAAAAGTATGACTTCTCTTGTTGGGGGATTTGGATCTTGCAGCTGTTTTTGTTTATCTCTTTTTCTTTTGGATGCAGAATGTCAAAACGTTTAAGGATGTCAAAGGTTGTGATGATGCTAAGCAAGAGCTTGAGGAGGTCGTTGAGTACCTAAAAAATCCTTCCAAGTTCACTCGGCTTGGAGGAAAGTTGCCGAAGGTTTGCGCTATTATGCCCGTTTATCCTGCCTTTTTATTTTTAATGTGCTTCCTTTTATGTAAAACACCCCCTATGCTTTTCCTGATGGAATATTGTCTTGTTTTTAGGGAATTCTCTTGACTGGAGCACCTGGAACAGGAAAAACTCTCCTTGCCAAGGTAAGCTGTTGATTACATCTTATGCTGAAATAGCTGTGCACATTGGATGTTCCATGTGTCGGCTAGCAGTGTTCTTTGTTATATCTTCAGATGCATTATGCCCTTCCAACTATAATCAAATTCAGATGCAATTTCTTTTTGTTAGTTGTGAATTGTGAGTCTTCTGCTTGAGCAGTTCTTCCTTCTCCCCTTTGCCTATTTGGTGATGTAAAATTTGCTAATCCTTTTCTCTTTTTGATATAGAAAATTCATTTAAGATTTTCAATTCCTTGTATTACAAAAACATAGTTATTTCTTCTGCTCTTGAATAATTTCGTGTCCACATTGGTCCTCTTTTAATTAGTTAAAGATTTCTCTTCTATTACCTTGTTCTCTTCTTTGGGCTAAGTTTTTTATTATGCATTCTTCCTTCATTCATAATATGACCTTTTGCTTTCTAATTCTGCATTCTAATTATGTAAACATAAGCATGTACATACGCTAATCCTGCTTAATTATCTTGATTTGAAGGCTATCGCTGGGGAAGCAGGGGTGCCTTTCTTTTATAAGGCAGGCTCCGAATTTGAAGAAATGTATGTTTACTACTTTCTCTACCTCATAACTTGGTCATGTTTGTATCCAATATGTGATAGAAACTTGTGATTTGTGAGCTCCTCTTACTTTCTAGAAGAAGCTCAGTTTCTTCTCAGGGGTAGCAAGCTGCTTGGTGCTTAGAAAATTACCTTAGTCAGTTTTTGTTCATTATATGTACACATCTGCAGTATTTGCTTCCAGCATCTAGGGAATAGAATGATATCTGTCATTGATATCACAGTTTTTCATATTAACTTTTTGACTATGAAGAGAGATTGGTAATTGCACACAAACCTATGCATGACAATATGTCGAATTTGGATAATGTAGGCCAATAGGTATAGTAGGGCAGATCTTTTTTCCTGGACACCTGACAAGTAGGATTTTGTTGATCTATTCCAACTCTAAGATGGTACAAAGTGTACAAGCATAATCACAGTTTGCAAATCCTCTGTCCAAACATACGTACTTATGATTAAGTCCACTTCATGCACGTTACTATAGGCAGCTTTAG